AGAATCTTGCCAGGTAGTTAATACCTGTAGGGCAGAAAACCAAAAGACAGGGATGTGGCAGAGGGTAACTGAGTAGTTACTTTTTATTGGTGCTCAGGGGAGGCCTCTCTTAGGAGGTGACATTGAAGCTGCTTTTGGAAGGTCAGGAAGGAGGCAGCCATGCACACGTTGTGGTAGAAGCATTCCTGACAGACGGAACAGCGAGTACAAATGTCCGGAGTTGGGAATGGGCTGAGCGCTCTTGAACAGAAAGGCCAACGTGATTGGAGTACAGTGGGTGAGGCGGAGAGAGGGCAGAGCTGAAGAAGAAAAGGAAGGCAGGGGCTAGATCATTGGGGTTTTGTAAGCAAGCAAAAGGAGTTTGAGTTTTATTGTAAGTGAGAAGCAAGTGGAGAGCTGTTGCATGGTATGACTTATACTTTAAATCTTCCCTCTGTCTATCATCATTTCATCTCATCCCCAGGGCCCCAGTGTCCTGGTTTCGGGACGGGGAGACAAGGCTGCTCCAGGGACCTGACTCTGGACTAGGGCACGAACTGGTCCTGGCCCGGGTAGGCAGTACTGATGAGGGCACCTACATCTGCCGGACCCTGGACGGTGCACTTGGGGGCATGGTGACCCTGCAGCTGGGCTGTGAGTCAGGGAGGGAGTACTGGGTGGCACTGGTGAGACATAGGGCTCCTGAGAGAATCCAAGCTCTGGGTAGTACATCTTCTGGGATGGGGAGGATCTGGGGACTTCTCAGTCTCCAGCTGTACCCTCTGCTTCTAGATCCCCCAACTCGCCCTGTTGTCTCCTGCCAAGCAGCTGACTATGAGAACTTCTCCTGCACTTGGAGTCCCAGCCAGGGCAGCGGTTTACCCACCCGCTACCTTACCTCCTACAGGTGAGTGCACGACTGGGCATGTATGCCTGTTCATCTGGGCATGCCAGCATAATGTGGGTATGTAGGCAGGGAGGGAGGTCCTGAGGGAGGCCTTAGGGAGAGGGAGGATCCTCTTTTCCTTTCTGACCTCAGATGGCCCCCTCCCTGTCAGGAAGAAGACAGTGCCAGGAGCTGATGTCCAGAGGTAGGAGATGAGGGAGAGGCTTGGGCTCCAGCTGAATCCCACAATGACCATTTCCAAAGCCCAAGATTCCATCCTCCCTCTTAGGATGAGTTCATCCACAGGGCCCTGGCCATGCCCACAGGACCCCCCAGGGGCTGCCCGCTGTGTAGTCCATGGGGCAGAGTTCTGGAGCCAGTACCGGATCAATGTGACTGAGGTGAACCCTCTGGGGGCCAGCACACGCCTGCTGGATGTCAGCTTGCAGAGCATCTGTAAGTACCCACCCCTCAACGGTCCCCCAGATCCCCAGATCGCAGAGAACCCAAACGGACGCCCGACTATAAAACTCCCTCCACCCAGAGCTTCCAGACATTTCCCTGTCAACATAGACCCCATTTCAGCACCCACATGGCCCCCAGGGAGACTAAGAAGCACAAGAGCTCAGAGCCCAGGAGGCAGGGTTACCTCAGCCCCCAGAAGTTGCTGCCGCTATCCCACTCCCCACAAATCCTTTCTGGCTGCTATCCCCAGAGCTGCCTCTCTGATTCTAGGCACGGTGCTGAACCATGTCTAGGTTGTCCTGCCTAATGGAAGCCCTTGCTTGTCCCTCCTTCCTCTTGATCTGTATGTGGGAGGGAGGTGCTAGAGCTCTGGCTTGACTTGGGGCCAACTCATCTTCTTGGATAGAAAGCAGAATCGCTCTTTAATGTACAGCAAACATTTCAAAAACCTATCCCCAGATCTCAGCTAATATTTTAATAGGGGTGACAGACATGTCCTGAGCCTAATGGATGATCAAGACTAAGATTTCCCCAACCCCCTTGGGAGTGCTTCCCTCAGGTACCTTAGGCACACCCCCGCCTCCCTTGGGAGGTGAGACGGAAGGGACGGGTACTTGTTCTCTGTCCTGACTTTGTGTCTCCACTGCCCACAGTGCGCCCTGACCCACCCCAGGGGTTGCGGGTAGAGTCGGTACCTGGCTATCCGCGCCGTCTGCGTGCCAGCTGGACATACCCCACCTCCTGGCCCCGCCAGCCCCACTTCTTGCTCAAGTTCCGGCTGCAGTACCGTCCAGTGCAGCATCCAGTATGGTCCATGGTAAGGCCTAGAGTGTGTACCAATCTGGGGTTGTGGGGCCTGTCTCTGGTTTCATGTTCTTGAGTTCTGAGTTTTCTGTATGGCTTTCTGGTGCGGCAGATCACCAAAGCCCTGTCGCTTCCAGCTATAGTCCTTTGCATGGGCCAGGCTTTGTGCCGGGCAGTGGGGATGTGGCAGGGACCCACAGACTAAGCCTCTGCCCTGCAGGGGTGTTAAGTCCATCTATGGGAAGGTAACAGTGGATTTTTAAAAATAATTTTTCTAGGAAAAGAGGCACATCCTCATACAAACACCCATATATCTAGATGAGGATAGTAGTGAATTCTCACCTCTGGAGGTATCAAAGACCGGTTAGCATTAGGTCCAGGAAGAGGCTGCCTCAGATAATGACCAATATTTCTGAGTTCTGTTTGCCTGCAGGCACCCATTTTACATGCATTATATTGTTTAGGGTATTCAATTCTATCTTACAAATGAAGAAACTGAGTTTCAGAGAGCCCAAAGGCCACCCAGTAAATGGTACATCAAAGATTTGAACCCAGGCAGTCTATATAACCGCCATGCACTTTTATCTTTCAAACACTAGTTGTAGACCTTACACCATGGTCACCAGACGTGAGGCCCAGACAGTTCCACCAGGCTGACAGGGACAGGACTGGGAGGAGGGGGTGCTCTTTGCAAACTGGGGCTGGGGAGCAGGTAGATGCTTACAACCTGGATAATGCAGGAGGAACCATCTTCACTCCCAGGTGGAGCCGGCAGGATTGGAGGAGGTGATCACAGACGCCGTGGCTGGGCTGCCCCATGCCGTGCGGGTCAGTGCCCGGGACTTTCTGGACGCTGGCACTTGGAGTGTCTGGAGCCCTGAGGCTTGGGGGACTCCAAGCACTGGTGAGAGACGGAGCCAAGGGGAGGGCTACCACATGTCAGCTGGACCATCGTTCCAGTGGGTGTGTAGCACACAAAGGTTCAGGAAAGGGGTGCTTCAGTCCTGGTTCCCTGCAGCCCCACCTTAACTTAAGTCCTACCCCTCAGCCTCCACCCTTCCTACTTCCCCAGGAGCAAGCTCTACCCTTTCTAGGCACTCATGTCCACCCCAGGCCCTGGCCTCCACGCCTATGCAGCGTGGACCATTCGCCTCAGGCCTCACCTCCCTTCAGGGTCCCTATGGAAGGAGATACCAGCTGGGGGCCAGCCACACTCTCAGCCAGAGGAGGGGCATCAGGGGGGCAGCTCCGCTCCCCCAAAGCCCTCTCTCCTGCCAGACCCACAGCCACTTGGTGAGTTTTGGCAGATGGGCAAAGTTGTAGGGGATGGAAAACCACAGAGAGGTGGGGGCACTAAGTTTAGTCAGGCAGGCTCACTTTACTTGTGATCCCCCCTCTCAGACCACAGAGACCCCCTGGAGCAGGTGGCAGTGCTGGCCTCTCTGGGAATTTTCTCTTTCCTGGGACTAGTGGCTGGAGCCCTGGCACTGGGGCTCTGGTAAGCGACTGCCCTTGGCCCCTCAACCTCTGATCCCATGCATGCTTGGATACCCACAGACCGTACCCTTTCCCATCCCTCATGATTCTCACTGATGCCATTGAACCTATCTGATCCAGGAACTACTTTCTTTCCCCTGCCCTCCTTCCAACTTCATGATTCTCACTGATTCCTCTCCTGATGCTTTACTAATAAGCTCTTTTGGAGTACATGAGATGGCCCACACTGTCAGGGAGATAATTGCCTTTTTATATCCAGGCTGAGGCTGAGACTGGACAGGAAGGATGGACCCCAAAAGCTTGGGTTCTTGACCACAATGATTCCAGTGGACAAACTTCCAGGTCAGTAGGGCCTCCAGGAGGTTTGAACTCAGAGACATATGCCCTCATTTTCGGTGTCTGAATTAGGAGCCAGATGCGCTAGTTATGGTAAGGTGTTGGGAATCAGTGTTGTGTCTCCTCATTTTTATATTGGGGCTCAGGGATGGGACTTTCATTCTTGAGTTTCTGGCCTCACAGTTGGGTGTCTCCCACTCTCACAGGATATTGGGGCTCCTAGATGGACTCCCTCATTTTCAGGGTGTTAGGATCAGAACTGGGCATCTTTTCTTATTCTTGGGGTATTTTGGATCAGAGCTGGGTCCCTTCCCTTGTTCTTGATGTGCCTGGATCCAGATCAACGTCCACTCCCTCATCTTCAAAGTGTTAGGGCTCCCTCAGAGCTGGGCTGCCCTATTCATTCTCAGAGTGTTGGGCTCAGTACTGTGTTCCCTCCATCATTCTCAGGGTATCTGGGTCAAGATCCAGTCCTACTACCTCCCTTGATTTGCCTCTTGCTTCTTTTAGGATCTCCAAACCTGTAGAAGACCCAGGAGGGCTTCAGCTGATTCCACCTGTAACTCTGTCTTGCTGCTGTGGCTGGACGGACAGATAGAACACAAGCAGGACAGTAGATACCCATGGAGGGGGAGGTCTCAGCTGAATGTTCTGTTTGGAGCCCATTTCTGTGAGACTCTGTGTTCCCAGCTTGTCAACTCAAAGGTACCTGGACCTCTGATTTCATCCCAGAGCTGAAGGTCTACCTGAGGGATGTGTGTAGATGTGTATGCCTGTGTCCATGTATGCCCATGTGTATGTGTGGCAGGAAACATGTGTTCTCTGTGTGAGTGTATGTAGGTGCCTGGGGAGTGTGTATGGGTCCTTGGCTCTTGGCCTTGCCCCTGGTGGGGATTTTGAAGGTGTGAATAAAGACAATGAAGGGGTTCTGTTTACTGACATGATTCCTAGCTCCAGATTCAGGGCTGAGAGGAGACTGCATAAAAGTTGGAGACCACAGTCATAGACTATTATCCAATGGCACTTTATTTAGCTACTGGGAGCCCAGGTCCATTTTCTCTGTCAGCCCCCAATTCAGGTTGGGCAGAGTACCCTGGAACCTTTTCCCTCAGCGCTTAAACCACGAAGCAGGCTGTGGTTCTGGGGTTGGATGCAGATATTGCATTGAGACAGGTGAAGCCTGGGAAGAGAAAGATCCAAAGCAATGGTCATAGCTTGTGAATGAGCTTAGGGTCCAGGGGTTAGAGGCAAAGCCCAGGTGAAAACCTGAGTCAGCATCACAATTGGCAATTGGGGCTGGAGTTGGGATCAGCATTAGTGGGTAGGACTAAAGTCAGGGGTATTGGGGCAGGGGCAGAGCTCACACAAAAGCCTGGAGGTGACAGTCCCCATTAGCCTCCTGCAGTTCCGCCTGGATGACCTTCCTCAGCATGCTGTCTTAGTGGCTTTCTGCAGAGCTGAGTACAGCAGGTAGTGCTGGGCGGCAGTAGCAATGCTAGGGGACAACAGCTCCATGTAGGATGGACTTCCTGGGTTCATTTCCCTCTGCTCCATTGATCCAGACCTCTGGTCTTCTAGACTCCCAGGCACTCACCTGCTCCAGGGTCTGGGCTCAGCAACAATAGCAGCAGGAGGCTGCTGGTAGGTGAGGTTCCCTTCATGCTGCTCAGCCGAGATACTTCCTTCTCTCTCCTCTTCCTCCCCTACTTTTATATGGGTGCCTTTTACCTGGGGTACCAGGTGAGTCAGAGGCAGGTGAAAATACTGCTAATCCCGTGACATTCCTGGGCCCTACTTGGCACAGACCCCTTCCTCTTCTGTCATTTCCTATGGGCTCCTGAGCCCTGGGCAGAGAAGCTAGGAGGGGTAGTGCATGATGTGGGCTGACAGCACATGACTCAGGGCAGTCAGAGATCCACAGTAGCAGCCAGTGATGGACATTCACACTCACATTCCCATAGCTAAACACTCAGTTACGCCTCACTCCATTAGCTTCACCTGGACAAACAGCTATAGGCAGAATCATAGAGCTCCAGTGATACTCAAAGTTCCACCCCCACAGTTGGGTTTTCACAATTATCCTATCACACAATCACACTAGTACACAAATTCTGATGGGGAAGTTGTTGGTGGGGTGGGAACAGGGGGCAGCCAGCAACAATTTGCCTTTATTTTCCCCTCCTCACTTCCTGCCTGATGGAGCCTGCCTGTCTTAATCAGGAGAAATTGATGGGAGTAGGTCCTAGAAGCAGGTCCCTCTGGCTGAGGAGTCTTGGCTGGAGCCAGTCACAATCAGAGCGAGAAGCTTGGAGGAGGCCCTTTTTGATGGTATTGGGGTGCATTGGGGATGCTGAGGTGGGAACCACTTTCCCCAGCAAGATGGGACAGGGAGGAAAGATGGGGTGGATAAGGAAGGTGAAAGTTCTTTGGTATCAGTTGCTGGTGTCAAACAGGTAAAAGACCCAAGATATCTTATCTTCCTGTTTATGCCTAGTTCTGTCCCAGAAATGCCTGCTTGCCAGCATTGATCTGGGGTTCCCAGACTCAGTTCCTGGCTTATTGAGACATCAGACTCAAGAGCTCAATTTACCTCTTTTGTTCTATTCAAATTGCAGCCTCTCTCCACCATGGGCCTGGAGGAAATGTCCCCTCCCCACCCAGGGCCAGTAATACCCCTGTCAACAACCCTCTGTATCTCATTCTCTTGCTGAAGCCTCAACCTCCCATCTTCTTCCTGTCCCTTCTCTCCTAATCCCATATCCAACCTTCACTCCTCTTACCCCTTTTTCCCAGGGCAAAAACTCCTCCTCTCCTTTCCAGGAAGGAGTGGCAACAAGCTGCTGAGTTTAGTGCCCCTGGCACCTTGAAGAATTTCCCACTCCCAGTCTAGGGATTTCAACCCTGAAGTCCTGTTTAGTGTTTGAAACATAAACGGAGTCAAAACCCAGTAATGCAGCCTTTATCTGGTTGTTGCAGAGGTGCCTTCTGTGGCCAGCTACCCTTTATGGGACAGACCTTCTACTGGGATAGGGATTCACACCTTCCCTGGGCATCTCTTTCTGCTGCAGGGTGGTTGCAACAATCAGGAGGGACCATTAGCTCTGATGGTAGGGACTAGTCCCCCAGCCAGGCTGAACAGCACAAGCTGCTCCTCCCTCTGGTCCAGGGTGAGGCTTGAAAGTCCTCCTCTGGAATATGTCTTGTGGATACTCAGGAATTCTGACATGTCCTGGTGAGGGGCAGGTCCAGGTCTGAACAGGGCATTCCACCTTTGACAGGGTTCTTCATGTGAGGAAGGTTCATTTCATCGTGTGAGGAAATGGCTGAAGAGCCTAGTCCATTCCTGAAAGTGGCCTAGAGGTCATTCATCTTGAACTTCTAGTCCTTAGGGTCTCTCCCCCACCCTCCAGTCTGGACTTGTGCTCCACAACTTGTGCGCAGCCATTGAGGTGTCATCGTCTTACCACAGGTTTTCTCCATCATCGGCTATCCACCACACATTTTGTGGTCTTTCCTGTACCAATCAGTCTAAAGACCTGGGAAGGCAAGAAACGATTTCTTCCGGGTATGTGCCCCTCTTTCCCCTTTGGCTTCTCCCAAAATAGGGCCAAGTCTTCTCCCTAGCCATAACCTGCTGTGGCAGGGGTAGCCTCAGGCTCAAAGTTAGCTTTGTCCCCGCCCACAAAACTGGGCTATCTATGTAACTGAATCCTCTGGTGCCTTTTCCAGTGCTTGGGCCAATCCCAAGCTGAAAGCAGGCCCTTTAGGAGTCCCTGACCTTTAGCACTTTAGGAGCTAGTGGGTCTGAGGTCGCCTAGGTGACAAGACAGAAAGGGGTGGCAGGAAGCAGTGGCCCTTGGGTTCTCCTAGGGAGGTAGCAAGAACTGCTAGGTGGGTTGATGCTGGAATCCATACGAAGCCTGGGATCATACTGGAGGAGCCAGAAGTTGGGGTATTAACTGACAGAAAGACCTCCAACAGTAGCAACTCACTTCCCTGTGGCAAGCTGAGGGAGGCAGCTTTTACAAATCTTCTCCTCCTCTCACAGCCTACTTTCTACAACTTTGGGCTTAAAATATTTCAGATCTGCTCCCAGGAAAAAATTCTTCAGATACTTGGCAAAGTCCTGGCTAGGAGGAAGGTGGTAGCAGAGCTGGGGTTGAGAGTACATAACACAATGTGGGAATAAGGTTAGGAGGAAGTCCAGGCCAGAACTTTTAGACTATTCACAGCAATGGGAGGGCAGTCACTGAGAGTAACTGGAGGCCTGACACTGATGAGGAACCCTTAGGAATAGCAGGGACCTGGTATGTAAGAGCACACACTATCTGGGCGGAGTAACTGTCCGTAAGGAAACAGCCGGCGTGGAGGGGCTCCCAGCTGGAATGGCGACAGAGGCGGCAGTCAGGAGGGCAGCACGGTGGCTTCGGGTTTAAATCTTTAATGCACCGGCTGGCTGGGTAGTGGCGGCAGGTGTGCGGCAGGGGAGGCTGCGACCTGAACGCTGGGGAGCAGGGCCCAGGCCGCTTGATAAACAGCTCATCAGGCCTCGCAGAGGCTCCAGCTTCTGCTCCCGGGGGTGCGCCGAGCTGTGGAGCGACCCGACAGAGGCCTGAGGCTGGGAGGGGATTCCCAGATTCTCCCCCACCCCAATCCATCCTCCGAGTCCGAGCCTCGTACATGCCCGGGGCAGGTCCGGGGGGTCGCAGCTCCCTCACCTCCGCTCCCTCCGCCACATGCGCAACCAGGGGAAAAAGTAGAAGCAGCCCCAGTAGATCCTGCAGAAACAAGGCAGAGCCAGGCCGGACAGGGCGGGGCTGACCCCACAGACTCCGCCAGCCGAGCGCCCCGCCCGTCTCTCGCCCGCTCAGCCCCACCCCTTGGAGGCGGTCCCCTTCGTAGCCCACGCCCCCTCCCTCAGGGGCCCTACCCCTCCAGCTCCCCCCGCCCTCAGAGAACTCGTGCCCTCCCCCCACCCCCGAGCGGCTAGGTTCCTCCTCCGCAGAAGCCCGCCTCCACTCACTCCTCCTCCGCCTCCAGCGCCACCTCGTATCTCCTCAATCCCGACATGTCCCGGGCTCCGAACGGCTCCTGGGGAGGAGCATGATTGAATCAAATATTCCCCAGTCCCTGGTCCCCTTGTCATTGTCAGGACCAGTCTGACTTATTCTCAGGTTATCGGAGGCAGGTGGCCCCGGGAAGCCTCATTGCCACATCCGACAGGGTGTGATTGAAGATTTGGGGGACACTAGACGTTAAGAGATTAGGAGGTAGGCTACCTCGGGGGTCTGGGGCATTTTGGGGTCGGGGCGAAAGCCTTTGCGGTCATGGGGTAGGATATTTGGGGCCCCGGTGAGGTTTTTTGGGGGCTGGGGTCACCTGGAGGGGGCTGAGGGGTCGGCGCAGCCTAAACTCCCGCCCTCCTTGGCTCCACCCCGGAAACAAACCGTTACATTAGGTCACAGGGACTCCGTCACACGCCGGGGGCGGGGCTGGCCTATTACCCGGAAGGGGCGGAGTCATGATTTCTTCAGAGAAGGCGGAGTCAAGAAAAATGTCACACTAGGAGGGGAAGCCAGGGTCTATCACTAACGGGGTGGGCCAAGGTTTATGACTTACACGAGGGGCACAGGAGTCTCTTTTACACAGCTCCGCTGTGGAAGATAGAGACCTCAGCATCAGGAAGCAAGAAAAGAGCTTTGGGTTGCTGACCAGTAGCTTTCCCAATTCCTTCTCCCCCTCTCCTTGGCTTCTGCCCTGCTGATTGTGTTTCTTTTCTGCCCCATTCCACTTGAATGACCTTGGGCTGAGGAGGAATATGTCTCCAGAGAGGGCCCAGGCTAGACAGGTCAGGCTATGGAAATGCTTGTTGGCTGAGAAGTCTTGGCTAAGTCACTTAATGGCCTTAATGGTTATAGCTCTTCCTCTGAGCTGAGACTTCCTGTGATTTTTGTTCCTACAGTCATTCAACAAATACTTATTGAGTGTCCACTAAGTGCTAAGCACTGTGCTGGGCATGGGGATATAGCAGTAAAGAAGGAAGGTGCAGTCTCCACCCTCAGAGAGTTTATCATCTGAATTGGAAATGGAATTGAAAGAGACAATTAGATTATTTCAACAAACCTAGCAGGGGACAGTAGAGTACTGGGGTGGAGCCTAGAAAGAGCAATTACCCCAGTGTGGGAGATGGGAAATAGCTCCCCTATTTGGTCTGGGGAGGAAGGAAGGGGGCCTTGTAGATAGACTGTAGGAAGAAAGTGACCAGAAATGGATGAAGTGAAAGTTCCCCCAGGCTGACTTGTGGAGAATTTATACACTTAGTCTCTCCCCCACCACACCCTCTTTCTCCCTCTCATACCTGTCTTTCCCTGCCTGGGTCCCGAACAGCAGGGGACAGATCCCTGGATGCCAGTCCAGTCTGAGCTTTACTGGAAACACTGCAGTCTGGGTATGGAGAAGCTGTGCTCTTGCCACACTCACCTTGCTCACTTGCCACACTCACCTTGCTCACACTCACAGTGTGAGATGCAGGAGGCCCAGTCCTTGGCTCCCCAGGGCTGTGGTGATTCACATCCCTTCCCTCAGACATAGGGCTCCTTCTGGGGCTGTCATGGGCTAACTGCTCTTGTTCTTGGGTAGGAAGGAGAGGCAAGGTCATGGGTGGGGGTCTTGGGCAGGGCCTTGGAGGGAGGAGGCAGGGATGGGGAGGGTTGGGCTTGCCCTTGCAGTGGTCTTCTGCAGTATCTGATGAAGCAGTCCATACAGGGCTGGTCTGGGGGTGTACAGAGCTGGCAGCTCTTTAGTGCAGTGAACCTGGAGTCAGGGAGAATGGAGCAGCCCTTGAACATAGCTTCCTGGAAGGCCCTGGTGTGAGGGCCAGAGGCTGGAGGCCACATCTGTGAATCTGTTTTGGAGGCTTCCTTGTGGGGAAGGGCTCAGCAAAAAGAAGGGAAGTGAGACGGTGAATGGAGGCCCAGGTGATGGAGGTGACTGGGAGAGGGAAAGACTGGTTATTCTCTATCCCTCACTCAAAGGACAGCAGTACTGTGCAGCTGTCCTTGAAAAGAGATAGGAACAAAAAGGCACCAAAAATGTTCCCAGGAATTGGGTGTTGGTTCACCAAGAGACACAGTCCTCAGAGCTGTTGGTAGCACTTAGAGCTGGCAGGTGGGTGTTAGCCTTAGGGCTTGAGGAACCGTCCGTGAGAAGGCTGCAGCCCTGACTGGAATTCAGGACACCTGTGTCCATTGCCATAGCTTTAGTGTAATACCTTTCCACCCTCACCCCCATGCACTGTCCTCTTCTTCCTCTGGACACCCAGGCTAGAGGGGACAGAGTTTCTAGAGAAAAGCCTCTAGACACAGGCCCACCTGCTGCACACAGGCAATGTATAGATTGCATGAGAATATACACAGAACCCAGGGAGCCCCACAGTACACAGGGATACATAATCACAGGGGCACACCCACTGGGCACATGTACACTTTCAGGTTCACAGACACACTCATACTTGGGTGTTGACCTGTACTCACAAGTCTCCCTCACAGACTTCCTGATCCCTGCTATGCCCCTCACCTTACCATTTTACCCCTTCCCCTTTCCAGGGTAGACCAGCAAATCAGCATGCTGAGAAAAGGAGTGATGCAGTGTAGGCGGCAGTGGAGGATGGATAGATGGACATTATTCATCTATCCGTTACGGTAATAATATTTGCTGATACTTAAGTGCCAGGTACCATACTTTATGCTTTAAATCCTTTGTCTCATGACAGATCTATGGAGTGCTATGAGCTATGCTTTCATTCATACAAACCCTTTCCTATACTTCTTTGCATGGTTCCTTTAGGGAACTCCTCTCCCACTTCATGTGGTCTTTGTGGGTCTGTCAGCTGCAGTGCTCTGAGGTGGCCCATTCCCTGCCACTGTGATATACTGAAGAACTGAATGTGTGTTACAAGCACTGTTAATCAGAGGTTTTCCTGAGATACGATGTTAGGAGACAGAGGGCATCTGTTTTAGGTCACTTACTCTAAAAATTTAGACCTGAGGCTTGCAGTGGCCATATTTTCTGCTGTTAGAAAAGCACCTTCTCTAACAGGAATGAGGTCCCCACACAAAAAGAATTGGAGAGAAGTCAAGTTAAGAGATGGAGATAACATCATTTGAGCCCCAGGTCCAACCAGAGCTGAAGCAGACTAAATTTTCGTAGTGGATCTAGTTATGAGGTAAGAAAAATTTAGCTTTTTGCTTATGTTACTTTAAGTTGAATTTTGTCATTTGCAATGGAAAGAGCCTTGAATGATGAGTACTGTTTTATTATCTCCATTTTACAGATAAGGAGCCTAAGACCCAGAAAAATTACATTTTCCCAAGGTTTCCCAGCTTATAAATGGCAGAATTGTCCTTTTTGAAGCAAAACTCTGATCTCCTACCTATATATGTCTGTCCGTCTATCCATCCATCCATCCCATTCATATATTTATCTGACCATCCTCTAATGCTAGGACACCAAAGGAATATACCTTGTCTCATTTGCCAACTCCAATTCTGAGGCCCGGTTTGGATCAAGGGTTGACAGAATTTTTCTGTAAATGTCCAGATAGTAGTAAATCTTTAAGGTTTTGCTGGCCATATGGTCTCTGTAGTGACTACTCAGCTTTGCTGCGGGAGCCCCAAGCAGCCATAGACAGTATGTAAATGAACAGGCCTGGTTGCATTCCAATAAAACCTTATTTACGAAAACAGTTAGCAGGGGCCATGTTTTGCCAGTCCCTGGTCTGGATCAATAGCGTTGGGAACATAAGTAAGGAGAGGGAGCATGTAGGCTTTGCGTTTACCATTACTAATCTCGTGGAAACAAGACGATTTTTATACTCAAACTCTTGTGTTTGAATCTGGCTTTATGTCCTTGGACAGATGAGGGGGGACAGGTGACAGTTTCCTCATCTGTAAAATAGGCACAATATATATCTTGTAAAGTAGTACGTGTGCCTGACTCAGGATGGGCACTCAGTGAAGGTTAGGTTCATCTCTGTTTCTCATTCATCACTTACCATGTGTCACCAGTATCAGGAAGCAGTTTCGCCACACTCTTTTATTAAGTTCACCACTCAGGATACATCCTGTTCCCCAGGTGGTTTTTCAGCCCTATGTCTTCTAAACAAATACTCCTCTCTGGGAGAAAGACTGTCCGTGTGTATCTATGTGCCCATGACTGTGTATATGTAATCATGTTTGTTTGATGTGCCCTTCTGTTCATATTGTGATTATGTGCTTAAATGTCTGTGGTGTGTTCTTTATGTGAGTGGTTGGCTGTGTGATTGGCTATATTCCTCTGTGTGTAGGAGTATGGGTATATGTATGTGGGTGAGGGTGATGGGACTTGTGCATTTGTGTGTAGGCGTGTGTTCTGGCTGTTTGTGCAAACTATCCCTTTGTAGCTGTCAACCTCATGGGTCCTGCAGCGGGGCATCCAGCGTGTAGGGAAAAGGGATTATAGGGCTCCTGGCCTGGGTGCTGAACCTCATGGGACCTGCAGAGGGCGCCTAGTGTATACAGAAAATGGGATATGTGGCTCCTGGCCTGTGGAAGGTAGGGAGGAGGGTTCTGGCCTAAGGAGGCTGGGCTGTCCTGTTGCAGAAAGGAGTTGGAAATGAGGGAGAAATCAGATGACTCAGCTCCTGAAAGTCCCTGATCCTGGGAAGGGTCTGCTTCACCCTGCATTTTTCTCCATACCCTTGGTCCATATCCAGAGGGTTCCAGCCCAGCCAGGGCGGCAGAGCTTGGCTCTTGAGTCCCAGAGTATGGGTAGAACATTGCACAGGACTTCCAGAGGTGACAGGATATCCATAATGGATGGAAGTCTTGAGCAATAGGACATTCCCCTCCCTGCTTCGTGCCCTTTGGAGCTAGAAGTATTGCCACTGCCAGGTTTCCTGAACACCCCCTCTCCTTCATTTCCTGCAATTTGGGCCTATCTGGGCCCCAGGGTTCCTGGGCCCTGGCCTGGGCTAAGCTTTCTTGGGAGAAGTGCAAAAGATAAAGGCCCCCGAGCCCAAAGCAGAAGAGGACCTATGTGGCTGGAGATGAGGAGTCCTGGGGTGTCAGAGGGAAGGCAAAGGAGGGAACTCTGCAGACCCTTGAGGATGGGTGAGGCAGGAGGGAGAACATTCCAGGTAGAATGAACAGCAAGCACAAAAGCTTAGAGGAGAGACTGTGTTTAATTCCAATGTGGGTGAAGGAGGGGAAGGGTAAGTGGTGATGGAGGCTTTGTGTGTGTGTGTGGTAGGTAATCCCTGGGGGACTTGTGGCACCTCTTGATGATGCCATGCCTAGTAGTCAAAGGTAATGGAAGACCCCTATAACTTTAATCAGGCAGGGCCCCTGGAGGCTATTATTCTTAATGTGTGAAGGTTTGGGTTCCTTAGCAGGCATATAATGTCAACCAACTGAAGTGTTAGTTGGAGGCAGAGGGAATTGAATTAAAGAGAAAGGGTGGTAAACAGAATTCTGATATTCCTCCCCGTTGGTGTGCTTGCCCTTTATAATAAGCTTGCTTTGAGGGGATCCCCTTGACCTCTTGAGCTGTGAATGTGATGCAATATCACTCATTGATTGGGTTATGCTATATGGCAAAAAAGAGGGTATTTTGCAGATGTAATTAAGGTCCCTGATCAGTTGATTTTGAATTAGTCATAAGGGAGATTACCCTGGATAGACCTGACCTAAGCAGGTGAGCCCTTTAAAAAATGTGTAGAGATAAGAAATAAGTAGCGGCAGATGCTCTCATGTTGTTCCCGAAGAAGGAAACTTCCATCTTGTGGAAAGGGCTGTGTAGCAGGAAGTGGTAGGCAGTTTCTGGGAACTCATGGCCTTAGTCCTACAACCACAACTGCCAATACCCAGTGAGTTTGGAAGAAGACTCTGAGCCTAAGATGAGATTGCAGCCCTGGCTGACACCTGAGTTCAGCCTGGTGAGACTCTGAGCAGTGGACCCAGTTAACATGGACCTGGAGTCTTGACCTATAGGAACTGTAAGATAAGAAATAACAGGTTGTTTTTGCCACACTAAAGTTGTGGTGATTTGTTACACAGCAACAGAAATTTAGTATAAGAAGGAAGTAATAAATGCTAGTTGAGCCCCAGGACAAGTTTAAGATCTACTGACTATAGCTTTTGTCCATATTTCCTTCCTGGTTGTGAAATGTCCCTATTTCTTTAACTGACTCCCCTTTTCTTTCATCCTCCCTTATTCTGTTCTTGAATATAGGTTGTTGTGGTGATATTACTACTACTTCCTACTAACCAAGATTCTGTTTTACTTCTGGTAGTCACTCACTTTTTTTTTATTAGTTTTATTTTGGTATCATTAATCTACAATTACATGAAGGACATTATGTTTACTAGGCTCCCCCCTTCACCAAGTCCCCCCCACATACCCATTCACAGTCACTGTCCATCAACATAGTATGATACTGTAAAATCACTACTTGTCTTCTCTGTGTTGCACAGCCCTCCCCGTGCCCCCCCCACACTATACATGTTAATCGTAATGCTCTCTTTCTTTTTTCCCACCCTTATCCCTCCCTTCCCATCTGTCCTCCCCAGTCCCTTTCCCTTTGGTAACTGTTAGTCCATTCTTGGGTTCTATGAGTCTGCTGCTGTTTTGTTCCTTCAGTTTTCTTTTGTTCTTATACTCCACATATGAGTGAAATCATTTGGTACTTGTCTTTCTCTGCCTGGCTTATTTCACTGAGCATAATACCCTCTAGCTCCATCCATGTTGTTGCAAATGGTAGGATTTGTTTTTTTCTTATGGCTGANCCACCCGTCCTCCATTGCTTCACAAAATCTTTCCTAAAATGTCCATTCGCTATGTAGTTCACTAAGGAAGCAGAGCTCTCTGTGGTGTGCTTCAAGCTTCCTGCTTTGAAGTGTGTGGGGGTGAAAGTAAATGCTTTCTAAGGAGCCCCTCCTGTATGAGTTTTTATTTTTTTCAAAATCAAGGAAGGGAGAAAATACCATTTCATCCAAATTGTCTTTCGTTCTCTGTCTAGTTCCATGGGGAAAATAATTGTCTAGACTGAGAATTACTATATCACCTGCATATTTCCAGAACTCTAATCCTGTAACAAAAATAATAAAATAGTCAGCTAAAAAAGAAAACACTGATAAATCAACTAGTTGTTACGCCAGCTGCCTTTGTTTATTTGCTTAATGGAACAATTGTTTTAGTGTCAAGAAGACACAACTGAATACCTCTGGTATGCCCAGCAGCATACCTCTGGTGTGCCCAAGGGAGCAGATGAGCAACAGTTGCTGCAAACCAGTCAGCAGGAAGCATTTCCTCCTGATTATGCCCCATCACTGGAAGTACTCTCACACAGTAAAAAAATTTTTATCAAGATTGCTGGTAGGATTTGAGCAGTAATGTAATTTTGGAAAAAGGAATTTGGCAGTTCAAATTTTCATGTTTCTTTGGAGTATATGCAAATGTTAAAGAAATGGGAACTCAGAATTTATCAGAAATTTGGAAAATGTGGGACCATGCATCATCTTTTAATACTGAACTTCTGAGTCATTTCATAAGCATAAGGGATGCAGAAAAAATAAAGGAAAATTTTGGCTTTTAATTTCTCAATTGAATTAAAATAAAATTCAAACATCTTGCCAGGGGCTTACATGATCTTGCTCCCAGTTCCTCTCTGACCTCATCTCTGCCCATAATCTCCTATGATCTCTGGGCTCTAGTTACATTGCAGCCCTTAAAGCACTACAGACACACCAAACCCATTCCTGCTTCAGGGCCTTTGCCATTAGAGAGGTAGGTTCCCATATAATGATCTTCCTCACTTCTAGTGGGTCTTTCCTGACCTAGTAACTCATCAGAAGGTCTTCTTTCCATTCTAGTAGGAATTTCCACTCTAGAACTTTCTACCACATACCCTGCTTTGTCATTATAAAATTACCATTACATGAGCTATTATTAAGTACTTATTTATTTGCTTATTGTTTGTTTTCTCCACTAAAAAGTAAGAACTTTGTTTTGTTTTTAACAGGCAAGTTTTACCATCAAATGCAACAAATCTACAAAAACTGAATAGTATAACAATAAGAATTAATGCCTATCATAAAGACTTAGAAGCGTTTTGGGCAAACAGCATCTTAAGGCATCAAGTACTTTTATTCACAGCTCTAAAAATATTGCCTTGCACATGTAGATGTT